GTTCCATATACTATCTGCTCTAACAGAAATACAATCCATTTTTTTTTTAAAGATGCCAGCTTTTGTTTTTTGTTTTTTTCCATTTATGGTCGTACAGACTAATAATAATGTTAACAAAGGCACAAAAGTTTGTCGTTTATGATCGTACAAAATAAACCACAATGAGAATTTAAAAGTTTAAGGATTTTTTTGTTTGCATTTACGGTTGTATAAACTAAAAATACTGATAAAGAAGGCACATAATGTATTGTTTATGATCGTATCAAAATAAAAGGTCATGTTAAAAAAAATGTTAAGTAAAAGCATGTGTTTAGTTAATAGTCGCGGTTTACTTGCCAAGACAATGGATCTAGTCTTTTAACTTCAGTATCTGTGTAACCCATTCTATATCATATGACCACTCCAGGATCCTACACTGCAAAACACCTCCGTAGAGACGTGCCCAATTCACTGACCTCATCTAACTCTATAAACACAGGTGTGATTTCAGGGAGCAGTCTCCTCTCAGCGGGACGAACGGTCACAGCCAGAAGAAGGGACCAATTTACATTCATTAGTGCAGAGGAGCGGAGAGGAGCTTAAGACTCATATAACGCATGGATCACAGGCTTGAATCTGTCAGGCCGCTCAGTGTGACAAACAAATCCGATGTGAAACCACTGCACAGGCAACATTCAGATCGCACAAGGATGTTTAGACGCTTTTATGTGCAATATTATTGAGAACAATGAAGAAATATTATTTGGTATAACAGTAACTTTATCACAGCTCAGCAGCATTTTGGCATCCAGGAATGAAGATCCATGCCAGTTCTGTTTTCAGGCAATTAAATGTTCACAAAAAATTACAATGCTGTTATAATTCGGAAGGAATTAATGTACCAAAGTGACAAGTTTGATTTTGTTTAATTGTTTTTAAAGCAATTATAACTGTCCTCAAATGTCCCTATTAATTAAAAAGAAGTAATTGTCTTTTATATTTTAGCATTTGGCTGTGATTTTATTTTTTTTTTATGTTGAATTAACCGTATATGTGTAATAATGTCATCTTAAAATCTAAATTATTTGCTTTGGATCTACATAATATATAAAAGATTTCAAAATAAAGTGACCAGAATAGGGTTGGTCAACATTATTGTGTTGTGAAACTAAAACAATGATACAACAGCAAATCAGTCACTGCACCTAAATGATGTAGGTTGAAGTGAAAAGGAAAAAATCTTATTACAAACAATCAATATGTGAAAGGAAATGAGCTATTTTGGAAGTCGGTCCATTCCACCTCAATTCACCAAAAAAAAAAAAAATTGCAATTTGAACCCTTACATTGTCCACCTGCAAGGAGTGCAACTGGTGTATGGGTAAGGCATAGCCAAGAAAGCCCAAATCTCAAATTTTAGCATGATCGGAGTAACGGTTTCCAAGATATCGCAATTAAATGTTTTCACTTTTTTGCGTGGTCGCCAAATTTCAAATTGTATTTACTCAGCAACTACTGGTCCCATATAAAAAACCAAGGTATCTCTGGAAAGGGGAAATCATAAGGAATCCAAATCAGTTTGTTTTTGCATTTGAGTAGTTTTGAGAACAATTACCTTTAGACCTATATTTTGACCTTGAAATTGACAATAAGATACACGCCCGACATCACTGACACCAACAGAAAAAAAATTTAGCCCTATATGTCTACTATGTGTAAAAAATCTGGAGGGGTTTTCTTTTTTATTTTCACACAAATTTACCTAGAAGTTGACTTACCCCCATCTTAAGACGTGCCAAATATTCATTTAGTATCTACGACTGACAATCAAAGGAACATAACAGTACCATCGTTTTGTCCCTGTCTCCCTGACTCAGACGCATGTCGACAAACTCAGTGAACAGGCAAACCCCCCTGATTAGGCTGCAGTTCATCAGGGACACGTGAGTGATGAAGATGAACATGAAGGCCCTGCCAATATCTCTCTTGTTGTTAGACCTTAGAACTTTGTATGATGCAGCTATGATAACCTCCCAGGTATTGGTCTGGTGGAGAAGATCTCAGAAGAATTTGGTGACTATAAGGTAAAGTTCACCCTCAAGGGACTAGCCAAGACCTTCGACTGGCCATCCAAAGATGATTCTTGTTGGATACCTGATTCAGACATACACTGTGTGACAAACACCCCTTTCTTGAAATCATCTTCGACAAGAAACTATAGCATTTTGCATAATGACCTGTCCAGAATTTCTAACCACTGTAAATATCCTGATTTCATGAAATGAAGACAGTTGTGAAATTTTCAATGACTTTTGGTACTGTGTGATTGACAATTTTTCTTAGAGTGTATCAAATTGGACTCCGTGTGTATAAGGGTATAGCCGTATACACTGAATGGATATTTGGCATGTGCATATAGGGCTACATTTTTTTCTGTTGGTATCATTGAGGTTGGGTGTGTCCCTTAAAAAGTGAAAAAATTATATTGAGATATCTTGAAAACCATTTGTCCGATCAAACTAAAATTTTTAATTTTGGCATTTCGGGTTATGATTTACCAAGGTTCATTAAAAAAAATAAATAAAATAAAAATAAATAAATACATTTGACAAAGTAGGGTTTAACACATTGGGTGAACTGAGGAGAACTGACCCAGTCCCAAGACAACATATATAGACAGTAGAGGCAGGCAGGGCATCAGACATAAAATATTAGATCAATATTCAAATGACTGCACAATACAGGGGTTAAGGGTATCCTGGAATCCACCAAAGAAACAAGAAAAATGACGCCAGAAAGTGTCAAAAATTACGCCCATTGCCAATTTCATGATTTTCAACAGATTCTCACCATTTATCTGTGAGAAAAAGACTTCAAAACATGTGCCTTTGATTGTGGTCTCCCTCTGCTCAGAGCTGACTCACACATATAATTACAAACCAATGGAGTTTTGTATTTGTCACTCACAGATATAGACCAGTGTTTTATGTGTAGTGTCCTGTTGCAGAACAAAGTGGAAAAGCCTTGTAGTTTTTAACTGCTTCCCGCTGACATGCCTCTGAGGAGAATCACTCTAGCCCTGAACAACCAAACTACAATATCTCTACTATTACGCCATGTGTAAAACTGTCTTCCAATTAACCGGAACATGACTGCTGACGACTGATAACAAAAGTGCAGCTTGTATCGCCTAAAGAGAGATTTCACAGTATCTCTATATTTTTTGCTATGGTTGTCCCACTGCTGTGCATGAGAAACTTACATAAGCACAAGGAGTTGGTTACACTGAAATGGTGAAATTGAAAGTATTTCTGCATGAGAGTGACAAATTTCTACAACGGTAGTAGTAGTAGTAGTAACAACATAAAAGAAAACCATATTACTACTACCTCTACTACTCCTACAACTACTAATAGCACTTCTACCTCTCTATTCAATTTAATTTAAGTTTATAGCACATTTAAAACAACTTCAGCTGACTAAAGTGCTTCACAAAAGACAAAAGTCGACAAAAACAGAAGAAACAATAATATAGTAACCGAAATATCATGACATTGTATCGTCAAAAATGTCACAATAATATCGTGGGCTGTCACAGTATATTGAATTACAAGTTCCTTTGCTTAAATGTATGGTTTTATAGCAGCAACAGCTTATAAACATCGGAAACTACATTTCCAATCACTCATTTCAGTGCAGACAACATGAAGAGATATGTTTTTTAATTGAATTCTTGGGATTATGGAAATCATGGAAATAATTCAGACCAAAATCTTGTCAAGGTATTTTAAAAGCAAAAAAATATCCTATCTACAATTATATTAGCCTTTTCAAAATATAGCAAAAAATACCATACCGTGACATATTGTGATAATATCATACCGTGAGATTATACATGTGACAATATATGTGAAAACTACAATAAAACACAGAGATAACCTAGTATTAGATGCCAAGGAGAAGAGGGGAGTTTTAGCCTAGTCTTAAACTGCGTTACAGACTGAGAGGATCTGACAGGAAGAGGAAGACTGTTCCACAATCTGGGCACTGCCACAGAAAAAGCTCCGTCACTTCTCGTCTTGAGCCTAGCTTTGGGCACGACCAACTGGAGCTGGTCAGATGATCTCAGGGCTCTGGGTGGAGTACAGGGCTGCGGTAATTCCCTCAAATAGACTGCATTCATTGAGTGTAAATATTTGATACATGTAAATGTGATGGAAATTAATATTGTGGAAGGATTTCTCTCAATCTGTCTCTGTGTAAATAAATGTGATTTCTACCTGAGACCCAGACCCCCACAGGAAAATATTGATGATTGATTACATTAAAATAATGATTAGTTTATCTTTCAGAAACACATTTGGTCTTGTAACTAAAACTCATTTGGTTTGGTAGTTAAAGACAGCATTAGAAAGACCCTTCAATGTAAACACTTCTGTTCCCTTTTGCTTGCTAGTCTTGTCAGGAAGAGACAAATGCATGTGAATATGGATGCAAAGCAGATCAAGCACATCTCGGAAGGAGTCGTCACCTTCTCAGTTTGAAATCTATATGTCCTCTGGTCATCTCAGACAAACTTAATGCTTTGTAAGATTCTGAGTCAAATGTGGTAGGGACATACTGAGGAGAGGCTGTTTGTCTCTGGTCAGGGCAGGCCTAGACCCTGTCCATATCTGCTGTAACAAGAATAAACCTTGATCTATATTCCAAAAACTCATCAGGCTTTGCAAATGGATTAATTATTTATCATCAAGAGATATATATGTTTTTCCATAACAGTAAACATTCTATAACATGCATTAATAAGTTTTATACTACCATACAGCACTGCTTATGCTTGTAGTATTGCTTAACTTATTTGTTATTTGTGGTGCATTGACTGCAATAACAATACTATTAGCAATTAGCTCTCACTCTGTGGCAAATCCAATAATAATGGTAATGTATTAATTCAGTGCATGGAGTAATCAGACCAGAAATTGGGTAGAGAGCGGAAGGAGAAATAAAACAAACACAGGAGATTGTCTTGAGTCCAATGATAATTTATCTTCCTTCAATTTCCTTCAAGAAAACCAAAAATACATAAGGGATCAAAGTTTAACAAATATTGCCACTCAGAAAGGATTAAAGTGTTTTCAAGTTAGCTCACATTCATTAGCACCACAGTCAGTCGGAATAAGGGGCTGGTTTCGCAACAATCATTTCAGTTCAATCTGTCGGGTTCATTTTGTCTTTGATCAAAATCTCCTTACAGAAGTTCAAGATGAAATTTTAGGTTACAATTTGGTGTGGAAAACTAGACATTTTGTCGAAGTGTGTTGTTACGAAACCAGCCCATCAAAAAAATATATATATAACAACAAAAACAACAGTGGAAGTTTTACTTTAAAGTGCACTATGTAACTTTTCTTTTTTGTCCATATTACTTTGCTGAATTGTGTGGCTTTTAACTTTTCAATTATATGGATTTGTATTGCTAAAAATACACTGCCTACTCTCCACAGATCTGAACTGTAACTGGGCTTGGTGGTGTAATCTGCTTGTGACTATGATGTGTCTTCAGTGAGGTGGTTGCCATAAATTTGAATCTTTTGTATGTCTTTTTTAATGCTCAAATGTTGCAAAAAAAAAAAAAAAAAATAAAAATAAAAATCTCTAGGTTTGTTCTAATAAAGCTTCTTTCTATAAGTGGACTGCCGTGTCAAATGTGGGGAAAAAAAAACACTTAAAATTACATAAAAAAGAAAACGTTTGTTGTTTTGGTTCATTGTAAAGTGCAGAAAATGTGTGATATTGTAGAAAAAAATCCATAAAAATAACCTACATTTGTTTTTGTATGATAATCGTTAGGTAATTTAGATAAGTGTAAAATCAAATAACGGACCCTCCACTAGAAAAGTTACACAGTGCACCTTTAAAATTATGCACAATGTTAGAGATTGGTCCAATGCAAAACTATAACAGAACACCACAGATGGTTAGTGCTGCAGAAAAGTACACTTCAGATCCGTCTTTAACTTGTGCTTCAGGGTTTAAGACTTCGAAACATAAATAACAAAATCACAACATCACAACAAACCAAACATACAAATAGTGAAAGTGAACGACAACGCTTACACATGTAGACACAGTGAAGCTACACAATGGCTGTAGACACTTAAGTTAGAAATGTTTTTTGTTTATTTGTTAAATTGCTTACCCAAGAGATAGGTATGTGCTTCAGGTGAAAAGTTTTAACATAAATAAATGGAATGCTAATATTTCATGCAAAAACAAAGCTTGCAAAACATTGGTCAGCCATTTATAAAAGTGAAAAATAATTATACTATAGAAAATGCAGTAATACAAGGCACACAAGGTAAATGTTTTTTGCTCCAAGGATGTTAAAATTTGCATTTATGTTTTTAATAAGGGATTAACTCTTGATCTCTCCCTCATGCAAACATTTACGCTTCAAAGTTCTTATCTGTTGTATATTAAAAATGCCTTCTTTGTATTGATTGAAATAGTTGAATTTATTGACATTTCTTGGCTGTGTGGTGGGAGAACAGATGTGGGTGCAGTTAATATAGACACTACTGCAGAGAAGTCCCAGAAAGAAAGTCTAAAAAATGCAGTAGTTCAGTTCAAATGTCCCAACTGTCACTAAAATATTGGTCCTCCTCCTCCTCCAGCCCATTTTCCATAAGGTCATCATCCTCCAACTTATTTATTTCATCGTCTTCCTCCTCTTCGTCCTTTTGGAGCTGAGTGAGCATCGATTGCAAAGTGGCTTTCACATTTTGGACCTCCTTCTCCAGGGACTGTGCGGTCAGAGTCAAGGAAATCAACAAGTGATTTACATGTAAATAACAGACAAGCCTGACAGACAAAACTCGGGTGAAAATTGACACTACTGGTAACTGTGAATGACTAGCTAAAATCAAATCACAAAGGCCATTGAGAAGTTCAGTGTTGCTGCAGGAAAACTTGAATTTCCCTCAGGATCAATAAGGTATTAGCATGATTCATCAGCCGGTTTCACTTTGAAGAAACCGTATGACCTTGCAGCAGTAGAATTTTTTGGCTCGACGGTAGGCGAGTACATTTTTCATTTAACCAGTCGCTGCTATTTGTAATGCGTCACAAATGGGGCTAACTGGTATATTAAGCTTTTCCCAAATCCTGTAGGAAGAAGGGCAATAATGTCATTCCCCTTAATAAAATTCACGGAACATTCTCTTTGTTCCAGTTTTAAATTCTCAATCTCGGGAATCGTTGCCAACACAGAATGTATGGCTCTTGGCTGACTGGCTGGTGCCCGAACTCGCACTTACGAAGTTTTTGCGAACGGTTTAGTGTATTCCGATTCCTGACCTAGTCGCTGGAGAGAAATTGAAATTAAGCGAAGGTACTAGGTTGCATCAGCCTGGCTCTAAAGTATCTTTCTCTCTCTTGAAAATTTTGATTCTAATTTAATTGTTTTAATAATACAATACAAGTAAATAAAAGTTGTCTTTGTCTGGTCCTGGTTCAAGCCTAGTATAATCCTGATGTAGACAAGGTTTGGTCCTGTTCTACTCCTGGTTTAGATCTGGATTTAGTCCCATTTAGTCTCACTTTTGCTTGTTGATTATTGATTGGGCAGTGAGCAAGTTGCAAGTTCAGGCAAAAAGAACATTTTAGTTTAACTGTGTTGCACCAATTGGTAAACCAAATGATACAAGCATTGATTCTGAACAGTGCCCCTTCCGCTCTTATATTCCGATGAGACCTTTAAAAATGCACATAAATATAAAATGATTGAAATGGAGCTAATGATTACGGCGCCTGCAGACAAAAATCAGAGCGGATTTTGACACTTGTGGCCAGGCTTGGTTAATGGTAATGACACGGGACAGCCCAAAACCATGATGAAGTTATCAGCCCCCAAATTGAAGCCCTCCAACAGATTACCAGCATGCATCATCACGTCATAGACAATTTAACCCCACGCGATTCAGTATGCATGATTTCATCTCATCTTTGGCTGTTCAGGAGGCAAACAGAGAGCTTTAATAATTCATGAGGTCTTGGGGAAATGGGAGAGAGGGCGTATATGAGGGGGATTGTTTAACCTGGTCCTGAAATGAAATGAATGGTGCGAATGTCCAGTTTAAGTGGTGAATCAGAGGGACAGCACAGAGGAGGCATATGGGGCCCGGGCTCATTTTACTTTGTGAACGGACACAGATTGTCCTCATCTATAATAAAGCGTCCGCTAAAGAGCTACTCATGAATACTGCATCGCATAAGACGGTTTTAAAACAGGAAAGTCCAAATATGAAGATGAAGTTAAAGTGAGGCTAAAATCGGACAAAAACTACAAAGTCATGCCTCTGTATCCTCTATCTTCTTTTCGTAAATCTGTTTTATATATATGTTATTTTACATACATTCACAGCATCCACTCAGTATTACAAATAAAATAACAAATTAGTACAATTTATAAAAGTAATTAACACAGATTCAATGTAAGAATCATCTTGTGTTCCAGCATTTCAAGTAAAAAATGTTAAAAAGTAAAAATAAATTGGTTATAAGACCTCAATAGTATGTTTTTATTTCCTACTATATCAACAACTCTGTCTCTCCACATAAAAGCCAGAACAATGATATCTCTGTCTGTCCTCTGTCCCTTCAGTGGAGTGACTTCAAAAAGCTGAGATGAGTGACAGGCGAGGACATGAGAGCAGAGAGGAGCAGAGGAGAGCACAGTCTGTGTCCATGTATGACCGCCAGGCCCCATCCTGATCCTGTGGACCGGGAGACTGGACTGACCTCTGCTAACACAATGGGAGCTCAGCCTCTAACACATGTGAAAGGACCCACTGAACACACTCAAGGACATAAGGAGGACAATGAGAAACCGAATACATCTACTTGTTTAACTGGCTGTGTGTGTGCGTTCTAATACTGTCAAGAAGCTGCCTGATTTGTCTGTTATTTATGTTTATATCTTGATTTAGGGATGAAATAGCAAAATATCATGTAGAGCAGATTAATACAAATATTTTAAGACCAAAATGATGAGCCTGACAGAGAGATCCATGCTCACGTCCTATCTGGAAAGCAATAACGTGTCTGTGTTACAAACATCTTGTGTTAAAGTTATCTACACTAGTTTAGTTTATTTATTTAATAAGACAGGGACAGTGCACAATCAACATTAACCTTAACAGGAGAGATGCATTGTACCAGGTTGTAGCGCCAGTGCTAATTTCCACCTGTAGTCCCTGAGCAGGTTAATTGATTGATTGTGTTTAATTGACCTTAGCTAACAGCTATCAGCTATTCTTCCTGGAGACCTATAGCATGTTTTGGGTTACAATATAATGCACTGTAAATTAGGATGCCTATACCAGAATCAGCACTTTCTTTAAATAATAATTTTTGTAGCCTTTTCTAATTTCCTGCTATTCTATTGCATTTAATATCTCAGTAAGTGACTTAATCTGTTGCCGTTCTAGTATTTTCATGTTGCAACACTGAAATTTCCTCATTGGGGTCAGATAGAAGTTTTCTTATCTTAATTTGAAGTGACCAGCCTAAGATCAACCAAAGAACAGGTGCCAAAATGAATTACAAGCTGCATTACATTCAGTACTGGTGGCAGCGGTAATGGTGCATGATTAGTGTGTACATCTTTACATATAGGCAATGTAAACAGAAACCAAAACCTGAAAAACAAGGTTAAGTGGGCAATTTTTCCTCATTGTAATGTTGAAACACGGCCACCTCTGTCTTGTCTTGGTTCTGTGCACAGGGAAGAAATGGAGCGGTGGAAAAACACACCAATCTATTTCCAATCAGGTTTCTAATTAGCTCTGAAAATGATGTATTGTGACTGGTAATCAGCCCGGGCCCTTCCTTTGAGTCATTATCATGGATATTGTAATTTCACATGGAGTTGAATGAGAGCAGGAGCGGTGGGCAGGTCGGGACAGGGATGGACATTAAGATAGGACCAGAAAGACTCATTATAGTGACATTTCTCTATCTACCTCAGCAGTGTCTTTTGGACACTGGGAATAGAAAAATCCTTTGTATTGTTATGTTAAAATGTCACTACACATTTTTACTCCCTCCCTATATGGGTTGCAGTTTGTTCTCTTGATAAAAAAAATAAATAAAAATCACTACAGCTGTTGATTTTGGTTTTAAATGTGCACTATGTCACAGTTCTGGTGGAGCGTCTGCCATCTGTTTGCCTTTTTGAACATGTTATTGCTTGGCCAGGAATGTTTCACAGTATGGCCTTAAATGTATGTGTCTCCATGGAGATGCAAGCCCGCTCACAGTAAGAAAGCCTGTTTTTCAATTAAAATCCATTCAATTAAGCAAATGCATTAAAAGAAGTGTGCCTTACTATGAAGCAGACATTTTACCCTCCAGCAGAAAAGTAGTGTACCTTTTAATTTGTGTTTTTTTTTCATAATTTTGGCTGTATTGTCAAATTTATCAAAGCCATTAAAGCAAAATTCTTATGGGAGAGACATTTGACTATGATGTCTCATAAAAATTCCCAGTTCAAATGTAGTGTTCCTTTCCTGAAGTCATGACAGGAGCAGACTCATTACAGTGACATCTCCCTCGGCCCTGTCTTTGGCTGAATGAAAAGAACCCCTCTCCTCACCATCACTTTTCACATTTCAAATCAGGATGCCCAGTCTGTACCAACCCGCTCATATCCCTGTTTATCTGTGGTTTTCTCCTCTTTTCAAAGCACTGCTAAAGTCAGATAAGGTAGGTTTTCCCTTAAAAGGTAGAATGAGAGGGAACATATACCGTAAGCTCAAAGGCATGTGGATATACGGAGCTGGCTGGAAAGTAGGTCTCATAGATAAACAGGCAGACGGAGTATACAGGAGGAAAGTTATAGCAGTGTGTTTCAAATAGACGTTTTGTGTTTTGGGGTATTGCTGTAACATACTATGTAGATGAAGATTTTACATTTTGTTCATTATAAACTGTAATATTGATGTAAAAAACACTTTATAATAGATACTTCACTGAATCCCTGATATGACCCCTGCCTTTGCATTGTGAATTTGACCTTAGCAAGCACTGGATTTGTATCTACTAGCGATGTAACGATATCCAAATGTACCGGTATGATATTATCAAATATGCATCTTACGGTATGATATTTATTGCGATATTTTGAAGAGGCTAATATAATTGTAGATAGGACACTTTTTTGCTTTTAAAATACTTTGACAAGATTTTGGTGTGAATTATTTCTATCATAACCCCAAGAATTCAAGTAAAAAACATATTTCTTCATGCTGTCTGCACTGAAGTGAATCATGGGATATGTAGTTTCTGATGTTCATAAGCTGTTAATTGGATATATTGTGACAGCCCACGATATTATTGTGAGACTTTTGACGATACGGTATCTTGACATTTCGGTTATTGTTTACATTCGTAGCATCTACATGTTTTATAAATGAAATATGGTTAAGTGGCAGTTTTGAAGCCTAGATATTGGACCTGGAGTCTCACTTGTTATGTAAGTGCAGGGAAGCAGGCGGAAATAGGGGGTAGGTGAAAACAGATTTCAGCACCAAAGCCTCAAAAGACAATACAGGATTACTCCATTATGAACATCCATTATGAAGTTGAGGGGACACTGTTATAACACTATTAAAAGCTCCTTTAAAGGATATGAGTTAGGGCTCGGTCCCTATTGTGGATGGCCATTTGCAGTTCCTCCTCCAGAGTCATGAGGCGGTCACTGATGAGTTCACACTGCTCCGTCAGGTCTGCTCCACCCGCCTCACTGCACCCGTCCTGGAATCACAACAAATAGTCATCAGTAAAACAATTGTCTGACTGTTCAAATGTATGAATACTGAACAGAATTACAAACATTATTTTATTTCATCACTTTAAATCATGTGGAATTTATTCTTCCCCGCCTTAGATCAAAACTGGGTTCTAAAAATACAAACATTCTGATAGTGGTAGTAGTAGACGTAGTGGTTGAGTGGTTAGGTTTGACTCCCAGATGAGGTGACGTGAGGTCTTTCATGGGGTTGAGTTTGCATTTTCTCCCCATCCTCTCAAACCAAAACACGCATAATAACCTCCGGCTAAAGTCGTCCTGACCAAGCCTAGCTCAAGCTCTGGAGATGAGCCCCTGACCCACTGCCCTGACAGAATGCCCCAGAGGAAATTAAATGGGTCAAATACAGAGGATACATTTCCCTAGGAGGACAAACTTTACTGTAACATTTGAGAGATATTATACACGTAGAGTCCATGTACTTTAATAGTGTGTGAATTCCTTTTATGAGTAAATTCTATTGCCATCACAATATATCGAATCACAAGTTTCTTCGCTTAAATTCATTGCTATAGTGCAGCAATAGCTAGAAAAACAGAGAGAAATACATGATCCTTTGCTCCGTTTTATGCGCAAACAACATGAAGAAATAACAGCTCTAAGCACTTTTTTGTCTTAGTTCTTTGGATTATGTCTTGTCAAGGCATTTTAAGAGGAAAAAGTAGCACAATTTTGTTAGTCTCCTTAAAATATGGCATTAAATATCGTACCATGAGATCGTGAAAATATCGTGCCGTTTATATCGTGAGATTTGGATATTGTTACATCGCTAGTAAATTCCTCATATTAGTAATGACAACAATAGCAGCAGTGGTATTTTGTGGCGTGGTATTTTTTGTTGTGAGGTTTTTCAGCCAAGTGCTCAGACAGATGTCTAGTGTAAATGAAGTCAGCCCAGTCTGAGTCTGGCAGGTGATTGACAGCTGTAATGACCAATCACTGTCTAGAGTCTAGACAATGACAGTGACATTGCACAACAGCAGTCGCAATATTTAACCACAAGAGTGACAAGTCAAAAAGTCCTTTGAACAAGATACATTTTTCAAAACAATTCAAGTCACGCTTCAAAAAGAGACAGCAGAGTCTGAATAGAAGTTGATTATTGTAGTCTGAAACTGACATGTGTGTGTGCAATGTCAAATAATTTTAGCATCCTTAAAAATACTATTTGTGCAGAAAGACAGCAGCAGTAGTTCTAAGCAAGTAGCTCCGAATGAGTAAATTTGCAACAATGATATTGCCGTTACACTTTCAAAAGGTTGCAAAATTTAGACTTTGTTCCACAAGGGAAATTTGCTCACAAATTATAATAAAAAAAAAAAAGCTCAAGTCACAGTAAAATAATGTAGCGTGCAGTTAAATCTCTGTGAAATAGAGGTCAGAATGGACACAGTTGAACAGCAGGGGGACCATGTGTGCTCTTAGTGGGCTGATTCACCTGAAGAGGCAGCCTGTATAAGGGTATGTTATAGTGTGTGTTCGCTTTACACTTACACTGGGCATGTGGCACTGGTAGGAGCAGAGTGCACTGGGGCAGTACGGACGGCCATAATTAGAACAAGCCCCTTAGCAGACGCGCTGTCCTAGTTTCAAGTACATCCATACACACAGACACAGACACATACACACAGACACACTAAACAATCAACCACACAAGTCTAATCTGACTCATAGCTTCAGGTAGAAAATAAGAAGTCCCTACAGCGCAAAGGTGTCAGAATGATCAGAGCAAAGTCATGTCTCGGCGTCCTGGAATAGCTCTGTTGTTGTTTTTTGGAGGATGATGTAACTGCACTGAGAAGCAACATTAAGCCTAAGGGACACAGCAATACAAACCATCAGTGTGAAATGAGTACTTAGAAAAGACTTTAAGCACTGAATGATATAACCTGATAGATATGAGAAATTAGACTCCAAGACCAAGACACTGTGGGGATGTGACAAGGCTTAGGGCATTGTGTAGTGCTAAAACTTGTACAGATCTTTTAAATCTAAATATATAAAGCTTTCACCCTCATTCTCAATATCCTGCAATCAGCCAGAGTTGCCCTGAGGTACACTGATGGAAGTGGCACTGTCAAAATCAATAACCCACATCCATCCGAGCAACAAATACTGGGCGCAGTATTAGAAAGGCCATCGAGATCTGCAAACAAGATCTAAGAATCCATAAATCGTGATGAGGGAACCTACACCATATCATACACATGTGATGTAGTCCTGGAGAAGGCATCCGACTCTAGGGGGCGTAAACAGCCTACAAGACATGCAAGAATAGAATAAAAGTCAAGTATGAGGCTACATTGAAATTATGAAGAAACAACTACTAGTATTATTCTGTGTAAAAAAACAAAACAAACACAGCGCGGCCATACCAGCTTATCAAAGCCTGATCCTGTCAGATCTCAGAAGCTAAGCAAGACCGGGCCTGGTTAGTACTTGGATGAGAGACTGCTGGGAAAATCAGGTGCCACAGGGGGGTGCCAGTCATAAAAACTGTTTTTGTGTCCTTAGGCAAGGCACTTCACCCTCATTGCCTCGTATGAAAGTGGTGTGTGTGTGAGTGATGGTGGTGGTCGGAGGAGCTGATGGCGCAGATTGGCAGCCTCGCTTTGTTCAGTTTGCCCCAGGGAAGCTGTGGCTACAGTAGTGGCTTACCACCACTGAGTATGGAGTGAATGAATAATGCTCTGTAAAGCGTCTTTGAGAGTCCAAATAAGCGCTATATAAAACTGATGCATTATTATTCATTATTAAACAAAAAAACATGTATCAAGCGTTTTAGTTTTGTCTTAGGCTACGTTCAGACTGCAGCCTGAAGTGACACAAATCAGAATTTTTTGCCCTTATGCAACCTGTATCTGATCTTTTAGTGACAGTCTGAATGACACAGATCAGATTTTTTCAAATGCAACCCAGGCCACTTGGATATGTGGTCCTAAAACCGATACATATTTTATATTTTGCCATGCGCCTTCAGTCTGAACGGCCAGGTCACATTCGTCCGACCTACACGTCACAAATGTACATAAACATTCTTCTCGTCATACGAAAATTGTGTCTGAACTCCATGTCAGTGAAGCAGCGAAGCACAGAGCAACCCCTCCACTCTTGGCTGTGACTCCGCACCTACACGTTCCTTTCCACCGCCGTTGCTGCCACTGTTCACAAAACGCCAAGGCCAAAAACCTCGTCTTTCTCCTTCTCAATCTCCTCCTTAAAACAAATAAGCTGTACATGTTCTAGCTCTGGTATGACAGCAACTTTAAAATGGCCAGGTGCTCAATGCTCGTGTCCATGTTTAGGCTCCTTCCGTAAACACTGAGCACGCTCGCTTTATGTGACGTTGTCGTGTCCTCCTGTGCGTTTAAAGTTCACACTGGAGATCACGTACAAGTCACATTAAAGTGGAAATGTGAACGACCTCGCAAAAAAAAAAATCCGAATTGAGCATTAAGCCCTGCAGTCTGAACGTCGCCTTAGTCTTAGTATTGAAACTGAATTAGACATTTTTGCACCATCAGACATAGGCAAGGTAAGTTAAGTGTCTTGCCCAAGGACACAACAACAGCACGTAACACTTTGTTAGCATCTGACTTTGGCCATATTTTTCAGTAGTACAGAATACAAGAATCCAACACAGCCGCACTCATTCAGGGAGCACAGTGGAAATGGGGCTATCAGTAAAGAGAACGTGTTTGGAACTTGTAGGGTAAATGTTTCATCAATTATCTCTTCTTTGAAACACACATGACCTTTCTGAAAAATGAACTAAAATGTTAACACACCATCTACAAGGATCAATTAGCTGCGCATAAATAAACGCAATACAATATTTAGTGCTTTGTCCTTGCGCGACAGAGAGGATATGCTAACCTTCAAATGAACACAACATCTGGTCGGAGTGTTTACATTTTGAGTGTCAGGGTGAGCAGCAGATAAGAGTCTTTGTTCGCTGGATTGACTCAATACTTCACAGGCTCCAGTCCATCTCTGTAAAGTCAATATGACCACAGGCTACAAAGGAAACGCACAGTGGGCAGAAAGACAGTTTGTTAGCAACTAGCCAGTAATGATGGTTGGAAGGAAAACAAAGTGATTTTTCCAATAAAAACATCTCTCTACAAGACTTCTTTGGCTAGTGCAGTTCATGAGGGTGGATCACAAATACATTGTTTTTAAAAGGCCAAGTTTCTTTTTTAAAAGAATTTGGGGTGCGTCCACAACTGTCTGTCCTGGTTTTGACCTGGTTTGAGCCCATTTTGGTCCAAATATAGGCTTGGTTTGTTCCTGTTCTAGTCCTGGTTTAGTTCCAGGTTTAATTTTGTAGTTTCAGATCTGGCATAATATTATATTACCTTATAACATATTTTCTGAACTATAAGTTGCACTTAAAATCCTTTAATTTTCTCAAAAAATCTACAGTGCACCTTATAATCTGGTGTGCCTTATATTTCGGTTGTGCTTACTGACCTCGAACTGACTATATGTGGTACATGACACTCAAAAATCTGTCAATATGTTTTAGTAGGACTTTGGTAAAGTATGAAGCCACACCGTTTGATGGATTGTCGGAGCATTACGGCTGCCGTAGTCAGGAGACTCGAGGAGTAAAGCCCAATTCACTGTCCAGAGTCCAAAAGAAGCTGACCACATCAATGCACAAGGAGCAAGCAATTTTTTCAGCACATATACTTTATCAAAATTAGCCATGTGATTTTAAGTTTAAGCTGCATTAAACACACTATTACTGCATATTTGCAAACTTAAATTATCCACTCACATTTACATTTATAATACACATTCACCAAGACAGGGAGGCAACGCCGGGCAAATTATGCCACGATCTGCCAATGGATCGTGGATGCCTGGGCTAAGGGATCAGTCTCATGTGTTGTGCCTTTTTTTTTTACTTAATGCACCTTATAATCTGGTGTGCCTTATA